GATACAAAGTAACATTGTTTATAAACATCGATCAGACGGGAGATGGAGAGATACAAAGTAACATTGTTTATAAACATCGATCAGACGGGAGATGGAGAGATACAAAGTAACATTGTTTATAAACATCGATCAGACGGGAGATGGAGAGATACAAAGTAACATTGTTTATAAAACATCGATCGGGACGGGAGATGGAGAGATACAAAGTAACATTGTTTATAAACATCGATCAGACGGGAGAGAGAGATACAAAGTAACATTGTTTATAAACATCGATCAGATGGGAGATGGAGAGATACAAAGTAACATTGTTTATAAACATCGATCAGACGGGAGATAGAGAGATACAAAGTAACATTGTTTATAAACATCGATCAGACAGGAGATGGAGAGATACAAAGTAACATTGTTTATAAACATCGATCAGACGGGAGATGGAGAGATACAAAGTAACATTGTTTATAAACATCGATCAGATGGGGGATGGAGAGATACAAAGTAACATTGTTTATAAACATCGATCAGACGGGAGATAGAGGGATACAAAGTAACATTGTTTATAAACATCGATCAGACGGGAGATGGAGAGATACAAAGTAACATTGTTTATAAACATCGATCAGACGGGGGATGGAGAGATACAAAGTAACATTGTTTATAAACATCGATCAGACGGGAGATAGAGGGATACAAGTAACATTGTTTATAAACATCGATCAGACGGGAGATAGAGATACAAAGTAACATTGTTTATAAACATCGATCAGACGGGAGATGGAGAGATACAAAGTAACATTGTTTATAAACATCGATCAGACGGGAGATAGAGATACAAAGTAACATTGTTTATAAACATCGATCAGACGGGGGATGGAGAGATACAAAGTAACATTGTTTATAAACATCGATCAGACGGGAGATGGAGAGATACAAAGTAACATTGTTTATAAACATCGATCAGACGGGAGATGGAGAGATACAAAGTAACAATGCCTGATGAAGGGATCCTGTGAGACTCCGAAACTTTGCCTTGCTGTAACTTTGTGATCATTTATTAAAACTTTTGGCCCCATATTGGTGATCCTCGGTGTGCTGGTGACATTCTCCCTCGCTGATTCTGTTCGGTTCCAGCCGACGATCGCTGCAACACCCACTTATACACACCGCCATTTTTAATGCAGGAAGGTGTGCGTTTGGATTGTACACTCGCAATTTTAAAGTGTGACATGTTTGGTATCTATTTACTCGGTGTAACAACTTGAATATTTTACCAAAAAAAATGGGTATTATATCATGTTTGTGTGCAATTAAATTAATTTTGTGTTAAAAAAAAACTGCTTTGCAAATAACGTGTGACATACAAAATTGCAAAACCCATCATTTTATTATCTAGGGCACGGGGTGTCAAACTGGAAGCCTTCCAGTTGTTGCCAAACTACAAGTCCCATGAGGCACTGCAAGATTACAGTTACAAGGATGACTCCTAAAGGCAGGAGAATTATGGCACTTGTAGTTTCGCAACAGCTGGAGGGCCTCCAGTTTGACACCCCTGCTCTAGGGCCTTCGCTAAAAATATACGTACACTATATTGCCCAAAGTATTGTCCCCGCCCTCCAAACCATTGGATTCAAGTGTTCCAATCCCCTCCATATCATGTGATTCAGGTGTTCCAATCCCCTCCATATCATGAGATTCAGGTGCTCCAATCCCGTCCATATCATGTGATTCAGGTGTTCCAATCCCCTCCCAATCATGTGATTCAGGTGTTTCAATCCCCTCCATATCATGTGATTCAGGTGTTCCAATCCCCTCCATATCATGTGATTCAGGTCTTCCAATCCCCTCCATATCATGTGATTCAGGTGTCCAATCCCCTCCATGGACACAGGTGTATACAATCAAGCCCCTAGGCATGCAGACGGCTTCTACAAACATTGGTGAAAGAATGGGTCGCTCTCAGGAGCTCAGTGACTCCAAGCGTGGTCCCGTGATAGGTGGCCACCTGGGCAATAAGTCCATCCGTGACATTTCCTGGCTACTAAATATTCCTCAACTGTTAGTGGGATTATAACAAAGTGGAAGCAACTGGGAACAACAGCCACTCAGCCACCAAGTGGTAGGCCAGGTCACATGACAGGGCGGGGTCAGCGCATGCTGAAGCGCACAGTGCGCAGAAGTCGCCAACTGTCTGCAGAGTCAATAGCTAAAGACCTCCAAACTTGGTGTGGCCTTCAGATGAGCCCAACAACAGTGCGTAGAGAGCTTCATGGAATGGGTTTCCATGGCCGAGCAGCTGCATCCAAGCCTTCCATCACCAAGTGCAATGCAAAGCGTCGGATGCCGTGGTGTAAAGCACGCCGCCACTGGACTCTAGAGCAGGGGAGATGTGTTCTCTGGAGTGACCAATCACGCTTCTCTGTCTGGCAATCCTAAGGCCGTATCTGGGTTTGGCGGTTGCCAGGAGAACGGTACTTGCCTGACTGCATTGTGCCAAGTGTAAAGTTTGGTCAATTTCATGCTCCCAACTTTGTGGGAGGAGTTTGGGGATGGCCCCTTCCTGTTCCAACATGACTGCCCACCAGTGCACAAAGCAAGGTCCATAAAGACATGGAGGAGCCAGTTTGGGGTGGAGGAACTTGACTGTCCTGCACAGAGTCCTGACCTCAACCCCATAGAACACCTTTGGGATGAATTAGAGCGGAGACTGTGAGCCAGGCCTCCTCCCCCGACATCAGTGCCTGACCTGACAAATGTGCTTCTGGAAGAATGGTCCAACCTTCCCATAGACACCCTCCTAAACCTTGTGGGGGCCTTCCCAGAAGAGTTGAAGCTGTTATAGCTGCAAAGGGCGGGGCCAACTCAATATTGAACCCTACGGACTAAGACTGGGGGGCTATTAAAGGTCATGTGTGTGGGAAGGGCGGGGCCAACTCAATATTGAACCCTACGGACTAAGACTGGGGGGCTATTAAAGGTCATGTGTGTGGGAAGGGCGGGGCCAACTCAATATTGAACCCTACGGACTAAGACTGGGGGGCCATTAAAGGTCATGTGTGTGGGAAGGGCGGGGCCAACTCAATATTGAACCCTACGGACTAAGACTGGGGGGCCACTATAGGTCATGTGTGTGGGAATACAATGCAATATAGCCTATATAATGTTTGGGGGTTCTAAGCAATTTTCTAGCAAAAAAAAATACCGATTTTTAAATGTAAACAAAGTGTCTTCTAGCGACTATACATCACCTTATCTTTTACCTGAAGTTAGCGGGAGACGGCGCCGGATTGGTTTAATCGGTGACAGGTTACTGGTAGGTGCTTCCATGGAGAGTATGGAAGGAACCACTTCCCGTAGGGTGTCGCCCAATGCCGAACGGTGCTTTTGGGGTCTGGGGCTACTGCCTTTCAGGCACAACGATGGGGCTGTTCCAGCAGAGGACACTTGGATGATTATGGTGTCAAAAATCCCCCATGATGAACTTAAAACGTTTATTGGAGATGAGTGAGTGCAAGCACACCAACGCGTTTCGGGGGAATGGCCTCCCCCCTTCTTCAGGGCGACGGCAGATTGGTGGTGTGGAGCTGAGGTGTCAAGCTCTTGGTTTGAGGCTGACCTCAGCTCCACGGTTTTCCGTTGCACCACCGATCTGCCATGGCCCTGAAGAAGGGGGAGCCCTTCCCCCGAAACGCGTTGGATGCTTGCACTCACTCATCTCCAATAAACGTTTTAACAGTTCGTGATGGGAGAGTTTTTCTTGACACCAGGCGCACCTTCATAATCATCCAAGTGTCCTCTGCTGGAGCGGCCCCATCGTTGTGCCTGAAAGGCAGTAGCCCCAGACCCCAAGACCACCATTCGGCATTGGGCGACACCCTACGGGAAGTGGTTCCTTCCATACTCTCCATGGAAGCACCCACCAGTAACCTGTCACAGAGCTTGTGCCCACTGAGCAGTCAGTGAAGCCGTGCATTGTGGGACTTAAAGTGCAAGTACGCATTTTTCCCGCGCTGTATATATTATTGTATATTTATTGGTTGAGCTCCTCCCTTTTCCTGTTATTTTCTTCCCAATCCTTTCATTATTTCACCCTCTGTACTCGCTCACAGGCAGAATTCTGCAGTCGGCCATTGCTGCCCTGCGCACACATAGAGGCTTCTGCTGGCCTCCTCCTCACCTGCCGGCCATACAGAGCCAGCTACAGTGCAGCTCACAGAAACGTCAGGAGAGGAGCAGTGCACACAGGGAGGCTTTCTCATCATCTGTCTTTCCCCTTTGGGATGAAGTCGCAGCAATGAGTGGTTGGGGTGAAATTTTCATTTTAATCTGCTGACACTTTACCTTCCCTGGTTCCCCCCCTCACCCCTCATCAATATGCTAATGACCTCTGTAAACACAACCTTTCCATTTTCACTACATACATTATACCAGTGACATCAACAATGGGTCTCTCCGCTTCTCTATGCAATGCAGGCAGATCGCGGCTGGTGGGAGGGGCTGGCAGGCCTCAGTCCTCCTCTCAAGAGTCCTCAGTCCTGATGCAAACAGTGGGATGGGTCTTGGGAGGAGTTATGCAAATATCAAAATATCTTAATGGATGGGTGTCAGTCTGGAGGAGCGAGCAATCCCACGCAGGCTGTATTTGCATACAAACTGCCCTCATGTGATGCTGAGCCTCCACAACTGAAAGAAATAAAATCCAACGAATGAAAGGGGCGTGGCCAGGGACAGTCAGGCTGGAGAGGAAAGTGCTGGATGATGCTGGGCGCCCTCCAGCCAGGAAATGAGGCGGAGCTCTATCTGACTGGCTGCAGCTACTAATGCACATTGTGAGAAGCTCTCAGTGTGCAGTGACATCAGAGGAAGCCATTTCAGTCCAGGGGAGGAGCCTTTACACCTGTGCAAGACAGAAGGGGAGGAGCCATAATACCTATGCAAGACTGAAGGGGAGGAGCTGGTACACCTGTGCAAGACTGAAGAGGAGGATCCAGTACACCTGCGCAAGACTGGAGGGGAGGAGCCGGTACACCTGTGCAAGACAGAAGGGGAGGAGCCGGTAAACCTGTGCAAGACTGAAGAGGAGGAGCCAGTACACCTGTGCAAGGCTGAAGGGGAGGAGCCAGTACACCTGTGCAAGGCTGAAGGGGAGGAGCCAGTACACCTGTGCAAGGCTGAAGGGGAGGAGCCAGTACACCTGTGCAAGGCTGAAGGGGAGGAGCCGCTACACCTGTGCAAGACTGAAGGTGAGGAGCCGCTACACCTGTGCAAGACTGGAGGGGAGGAGCCGATGCACCTGTGCAAGACAGAAGGGGAGGAGCTGATACACCTGTGCAACTAAAGGGGAGGAGCCAGTACATCTGGGCCAGACAGAAGGGGAGGAGCCGGTAAACCTGTGCAAGGCTGAAGGGGAGGAGCTGGTACACCTGTGCAAGGCTGAAGGGGAGGAGCTGCTACACCTGTGCAAGACTGGAGGGGAGGAGCCGGTACACCTGTGCAAGACAGAAGGGGAGGAGCCGGTACACCTGTGCAAGACAGAAGGGGAGGAGCCAGTATACCTATGCAAGACTGAAGGGGAGGAGCTGGTACACCTGTGCAAGACTGAAGGGGAGGAGCTGGTACACCTGTGCAAGACAGAAGGGCAGGAGCTGATACACCTGTGCAACTAAAGGGGAGGAGCCAGTACATCTGGGCCAGACAGAAGGGGAGGAGCCGGTAAACCTGTGCAAGACTGAAGGGGAGGAGCCAGTACACCTGTGCAAGACTGCAGGGGAGGAGCTGAGACACCAGTGCAAATCTGAAGGGGAGGAGTCGGTACACCTGTGCAAGACTGAAGGGGAGGAGCCGGTACACCTGTGCAAGACTGAAGGGGAGGGGCCAGTACACCTGTGCAAGACTGAAGGGGAGGAGCCAGTACACCTGTGCAAAACTAAAGGGGAGGAGCCGATACACCTGTGCAAGACTGGAGGGGAGGAGCCGATACACCTGTGCAAGGCTGAAAGGGAGGAGCCAATACAACTGCAAGACTGGAGGAGAGAAGCTGATACAAATGTGCAAGACTGAAGGGGAGGAGCCAGTATAGCTGTGCAATACTGAGGGGGAGGAGGGTACACCTGTGCAAGACTGAAGTGGAGGAGCCAGTATAGCTGTACAATACTGAAGGGGAGGAGCCGGTACACCTGTGCAAGACTAAAGGGGAGGAGCTGGCACACCTGTGAAAGACTGAAGGGGAGGAGCTGGTACACCTGTGCAAGACTGAAGGGGAGGAGCCGGTACACCTGTGCAAGACTGAAGGGGAGGAGCCAGTACACCTGTGCAAGACTGAAGGGGAGGAGCCAGTACACCTGTGCAAGACTGAGGGGAGGAGCCGGTACACCTGTGCAAGACTAAAGGGGAGGAGCTGGTACACCTGTGAAAGACTGAAGGGGAGGAGCTGGTACACCTGTGCAAGACTGAAGGGGAGGAGCCAGTACACCTGTGCAAGACTGAAGGGGAGGAGCCAGTACACCTGTGCAAGACTGAAGGGGAGGAGCCAGTACGCCTGTGCAAGACTGAAGGGGAGGAGCCAGTACACCTGTGCAAGACTGAAGGGGAGGAGCCAGTACACCTGTGCAAGACTGAAGGGGAGGAGCCAGTACACCTGTGCAAGACTGGAGGGGAGGAGCCGGTACACCTGTGCAAGACTGAAGGGGAGGAGCCATTACACCTGTGCAAGACTGGAGGGGAGGAGCCGGTACACCTGTGCAAGACTGGAGGGGAGGAGCCGGTACACCTGTGCAAGACTGGAGGGGAGGAGCCGGTACACCTGTGCAAGACTGAAGGGGAGGAGCCGGTACACCTGTGCAAGACTGGAGGGGAGGAGCCGGTACACCTGTGCAAGACTGAAGGGGAGGAGCCGGTACACCTGTGCAAGACTGAAGGGGAGGAGCCAGTACACCTGTGCAAGACTGAAGGGGAGGAGCCAGTACACCTGTGCAAGACTGGAGGGGAGGAGCCAGTACACCTGTGCAAGACTGAAGGGGAGGAGCCAGTACACCTGTGCAAGACTGGAGGGGAGGTTTGCAGACACCAATCCACGTATCGCCCAGTAAAACATTTACCATCTGCCGATTGTGAAGATCCTTCCTGCGGCCACACACACAATAAGCGCTGCCAATCCCAGGCGGCGTCCGGTCCCCGGCTGGCACAGAGGGACGTGAAATATGAAGGGTTAGTCACAGCGCGATGATGTCTCCGTATGACTCAGGAATTGGCAGCCGATTCAGTGATGTAAACACAATTTACTAACACTAATATTTAAAGAAAAAAAAAAGATACATTAATAATATAGAGAGCCGGAGAAAAGGAACTTCATATTCTGGAGATCGGCGCTTCTGTTACTTTCGTCTCGAAGAAAAATTGCTGCTTTCCCAGGAGGATGAGAGCTGTGCAGACTATGGGCCACGACACCAGGCCCAAATCTTACAAAGTGGGGGTGCATAGAACCCCCCCAACAGGAACACAAAACCATTCAATAATTGGATTTCTGGAACAGATCATGAAGTGTTGGAGGACAAACTCAGAATGAACAGGGTGCAGCGCTGTACAGAGAACGCCAAGCCAGTCACATCAGTCTCTGTACCAGAGGAGCTTACACTCTAATGTCCCCTCCCCCACAGTCACATCAGTCTCTGCACCAGAGGAGCTTACGCTCTAATATCCCCTCCCCCACAGTCACATCAGTCTCCGTACCGGAGGAGCTTACACTCTAATGTCCCCTCCCCCACAGTCACATCAGTCTCTGTACCAGAGGAGCTTACACTCTAATGTCCCCTCCCCCACAGTCACATCAGTCTCTGCACCAGAGGAGCTTACGCTCTAATGTCCCCCTCCCCTGCAGTCACATCAGCCTCTGTACCAGAGGAGCTTACGCTCTAATGTCCCCTCCCCCACAGTCCTATCAGTCTCTGTACCAGAGGAGCTTACACTCTGATGTCCCCTCCCCCACAGTCCTATCAGTCTCTGTACCAGAGGAGCTTACACTCTAATCCCCCCTCCCCCGCAGTCCCATCAGTCTCTGTACCAGAGGAGCTTACACTCCAATGTCCCCTCCCCCACAGTCCTATCAGTCTCTGTACCAGAGGAGCTTACACTCTAATCCCCCCTCCCCCGCAGTCCCATCAGTCTCTGTACCAGAGGAGCTTACACTCTAATCCCCCCCCCCCCCAGGATTGGTTGTTAGTTGGGGGACACACATCGGTGTGATGACTGTGGATCTGACACTCCATGGTGATGTCAGTCTGGTCTATGGTGGGGGTGGGGTCTCCCCGGCGCTGTCCCTCATTATCATTCAGTCCTCGTTCTTCTCCCTCCAGCCAGGATGTTTCATCCTTCATTCAGTGAATTATACATTCTCCTCGCACGCTGCGCCGCTATTGGCTGCAAACTTAAAATCAATACTAATCAATGGAGGTCTGTAAAACAAGTCAGATGAGTCATCGCCGGGTGTCCCCGCCCCTTCTGGAAAACGCTGCCATGGCGGCACGGATCCGGGATGACACCTCCGGATCTGACCGGGACAAGACCGCCATGCAGGCCACGCAATGAGAACTGTCTGTGCTGCCCCACAGCAACCAATAGGATCACAGAGACCCAGAATTCATCCATCGCTCATCACACTTCACATATAAAGTATCAAAAGACAAAACGTCCTTTTCATGTCTGGATGGAGCAGTGAAGGGATAATCCCGCTCGGTCCTTACTGGTGTCACGCTGTCATCGGTGTCACCACTGGGGAGATTTCCCTTCACTTCCTGTCCTGTGAGAGGAGAAAACTCCGGACCTCCCCTTCCTGCATATCTATTATCTATCATATAATAATGGATTTCATTTCTCCGAAACCTGACAAAGTGACGGAGAATAACCTAAACTATTAACTACCCCCCCCCCCCCTCCTCCATTCACCCCACATCTGATTTCCATCATAAAATGTCATTTGCATTTCTCCACTGAAAAATTAGGAAACAACTTCCAGCAGAAGGATGGTGAATGTAGGTGGTGAATGTAGATGGTGAATGTAGATGGTGAATGAAAATGGTGAATGTAGATGGTGAATGTAGATGGTGAATAAAAATGGTGAATGTAGATGGTGAATGTAGGTGGTGAATGTAGGTGGTGAATATAGATGGTGAATGTAGGTGGTGAATGTAGGTGGTGAATGTAGATGGTGAATGTAGGTGGTGAATGTAGGTGGTGAATGTAGATGGTGAATGTAGATGGTGAATGTAGGTGGTGAATGTAGGTGGTGAATGTAGATGGTGAATGTAGGTGGTGAATGTAGGTGGTGAATGTAGGTGGTGAATGTAGGTGGTGAATGTAGGTGGTGAATGTAGATGGTGATGTAGGTGGTGAATGTAGATGGTGAATGTAGGTGGTGAATGTAGATGGTGAATGTAGGTGGTGAATGTAGGTGGTGAATGTAGATGGTGAATGTAGGTGGTGAATGTGGTGGTGAATGTAGATGGTGAATGTAGGTGGTGAATGTAGATGGTGAATGTAGATGGTGATGTATGTGTCGGTGAATGTAGTGGTGAATGTAGGTGGTGAATGTAGATGGTGAATGTAGGTGGTGAATGTAGGTGGTGAATGTAGATGGTGAATGTAGGTGGTGAATGTAGATGGTGAATGTAGGTGGTGAATGTAGGTGGTGAATGTAGATGGTGAATGTAGGTGGTGAATGTAGGTGGTGAATGTAGATGGTGATGTAGATGGTGAATGTAGGTGGGTGAATGTAGATGGTGAATGTAGATTGAATGTAGATTTTGAATGTAGGTGGTGAGTATGTAGATGGTGAATGTATTGGTGGTGAATGTAGGTGGTGAATGTAGGTGGTGAATGTAGATGGTGTTGTAGATGGTGAATGTAGATGGTGAATGTAGGTGGTGAATGTAGGTGGTGAATTTAGGTGGTGAATGTAGATGGTGAATGTAGGTGGTGAATGAGATGGTGAATGTAGGTGGTGATGGTATGTGATGGTGAATGTAGGTGGTGAATGTAGTGGTGAATGTATATGGTATGTAGGGGTGATAGTTGTAGTGAATGGGTAGATGGTTATTAGATGGTGAATGTAGGTGGTTGTGAATGTAGGTGGTGAATGTAGATGGAGGGGTATGTAGGTGGTGAATGTAGATGGTGAATGTGATGGTGAATGTAGGTGGTGAATGTAGGGTATTGATATGTAGATGGTGAATGTAGGGATAAAAGCCGGGTGTCACCGGAGTATTAACACATTGAAACGAGAGGCTGTGGGATGGAGTGCAGTACCCAGAAACTGCCTGAGGAGGGCACTGCTGTAAATGCTGCTGCAGAAAGCAGCTGATGGTTCTCTACAAGGATCAAATACTTTCCTCCTCACTCCGACCTCGGGGAGTATCGGTACTTTCTGCAGACAGAGATTATTATTATTATTATACAGTATTTATAAAGCGCCAATAGTTCGCTCAGCGCTGTACATTATGTAGATGTGTCAGTGGGAGTATCATGATTAGTAGTAGTAACAGTATTGATCATATTAGTAGTAGTAGTCATGGTAGTAGGAGAAGTGATATCATTATTGTTAGTAGTATTGACAGTATTATTTATTATTATTATTATTAGTAGTAGCATTATTGATATTATTATTATTAGTAGTAGTGTAGTATTGATATTATTATTATTATGATATTATTAGTAGCAGTATTGATATTATTAGTAGCAGTATTGATATATTATTATTGATATTATTAGTAGTAGTAGTATTGATATTATTAGTAGTAGTATTGATATTATTGGTATTGATATTATTAGTAGTATTGATATTATTATTAGTATTGATATTATTAGTAGAAGTATTGATATTATTAGTAGCAGTATTGATATTATTAGTAGTAGTATTGATATTATTAGAAGCAGTATTGATATTATTAGTAGTAGTATTGATATTATTAGAAGCAGTAATATTAGTAAATTTCTACACTTTTTATTAGGATACTTCTTAAAGCAATAAAAGAAGCAGTGGTGCAGGGCATGCTGAGACTTGTAGTTCCCCCGGGCAGTGCTCACCCCTGTAAGTCCCCGGCACGGACTGTGACTCCAGTAATACAGCAATGAAGTCCGGGGTCAGCAGAGTCCACGGAGACAAAGTACACGGAGAATCCTCCGCACTGACATGTGTTGCATTAATAAATCACTCATAACTGTCCCGGATTGGACGCTGAGAGCCGGAAAGCAGTGTGAGGAGGGACTGCCAGGACGGACAGGTCAGCGGCGGACACAAGGCGGTCACTATTGTATCATTCCAAGGTTCAAGGAACCCCGCGGAGACCTCAGGGCAGAATAATCGCTTGTAATCGGCCAATAATTAGAAAGTTTGATCATTTGTGATGATGGAATGTTTAACAAAACCCAAAATACACACAAAAAGGAAACCAATGATGACACTTTGAGAAAATGTACAAATTTCCAAAGACAAAAAAAGGGGCCTCAGGAGGCGGCAGCATTCCCTGCTGAACGCCTGAAAACCTGTTTCATCGCCCTGTAAGAAGCAATCCATTGTGGATCACTTTTCAGGGTGGAGGTAAATACTGCCACTACTGTGAAAGGACCCTTATGCTGTCCATACACTAGCAGCATTCTGAACCAGAAGATTCGTAGGAACATTCGTATATGGGGTGAGGTTTGGGGTCCTGATCCTAGAGATGGGGATATGGGGTGAGGTTTGGGGTCCTGATCCTAGAGATGGGGATATGGGGTGAGGTTTCAGGTCCT